CATTCTACCCGGTCCCCAACATAAAAAAAATCTTCTGTGTGCCCATGCCTTGAGCCATAATAAATGGCCGTCCAGAGGATTTTTTTATGTTGGGGACCGGGGTAGAATGCAATAAATTATTGAATATTTATTGCATTTTCTGTTTTTTTTTTAAATTTATGGAAACTGCCCCCTACCCTAGCCCCCGCTGCGTACAGTCATGGTTCAGTGACAAAGCAATGGCCTCGTAACTGTGAGGCCCCAGGATCAACACCGTGTCGATGTGCTATATCAGAGCCCTTTTGTGAGGCATTAATCCTCATTACTGTCATTTATGACTTAAGGGCATAGGTCCCCTAGTTGATAAACATAGTAGCATAATATACATGCTTTAGCAGTCACGCAAAACACATATTGGCAAATTATTATTCAATAAAATCTGAGACTGTATACTATTATCTAGATCTAGTATTTTAAAATTATTTTTAAAATAATTCCATAAATTGGGATAAAAAAAAATATTCCACCGTTATGAGCAACAGTGTAGAATCAGCATTAATTTTTGCTTCATCATTTCAATCGATAAAGCCTTTCAAGCCCACAGCACAAGATACGATTCGAGAGCGATAAAATTCTCGAATAAATCGCAATTACATTAGCTATGCAAATATATACAGATGTAATCCTCTTGATTTAGGTTCTGAACAATAGCTTAATTATTACTTGAAATTGAAATTAGGTACATTGCAAGCATGCTAGTCTGAGTAAACTGCCAACATTGACTTCAAATTGTAAACTGTCGCATGAATTGTTTCAAATAGGCCATATATGTAATGTAATCAAATTTAAAGGGACTTGGTAACATTGTTCAGATGAGAGAAAAGGTAGCTAAGGTAGTGACATCAATGCTAGATGTACAATTAAATATAATCTGAAACTTTCAGTTAAATCAAACCGTTATTAATGATACAAATTGGGAAAAACTGATCTGATCGATTCCTTAAATCTCCCAACTATATTATTACAATTTAATTACATTTTAGGTGAATGTCAATTGTCACACAACGATGAATTGGCTCTATATACCATTCCAGACATTTAAGTGTTGACATATTTGTAAAAGGCTGTCTTATGTCTTATTTTCATGGAAGTGAATGAAATAAACGAGGCACGCTACACAGATGATTGCATCAAATCTTATTACATTACGGAAATGGTTTATTCGGATCATAGTCACATCTTATGGTGCGCGGTGGGCGTTATGCGATGGTCAATAGATTTCACCCACTCTTAGCCTTGTTTTGCCCGCACGCGACTTTGGCGTCATCATCGCTTATTTCGCCATCATGATCATTGTCAGTTAGGTTGATTACCGTTTACTGTTAGAGTAATACACGTCACGTTGTACAGGCTAACAATGTAGCAAACAATTTACATTTGATGATGATATTTGTTGAATTCGTCTGATTCACTGAGTTGCATTATTGAGAGATCTGTGTTGTGGATGAACTCCTCCACGGAAATAAAGTAGAAAACAGATGAAAAAGAGATGACGAAGAGTTGACAAAGAGGTGAAAAAAAGCGATGAAAAGATCATGCAAAAGAGGCAAATTTTGAATGCTTTATGACTTTTTATGTTAAACACGCAAATCACTTTTTTCTTCAATATCTAATCGAGAATATGTGTCTCACGGCAAAGGTTTTAAACTCCAATCGTTGGAATCATTGATTAATGACTTTAAGCTAGACATCTTTTCGAATTATATATTTGTTTAATGTTACAAGAAAATTGTAATAGCAGCATCCACTTCATGTATCTATACTTGTACAGATTAGCATTTGAAGTGGATATATTTAACTTTCTAAAGCCGAATTTCGCCTCCTATTGGTATTAATACAAGCTGAAAATCGAGACAAACAAATAAGTGAAAGTTTAAAGCCTCACTGTCCTACTTGTAGCTACTTGCTCCCTCTATATAGAAAACTTCCCCAATCGGTGTCTGTTGGTCCCCCATGATCCTTTTTTCTTATGTTAGGTGAGAGCTGAGTTAATGAGATAGCCACCTGTCATTGACCTCGCTGTGTGGTATAATCCCTTCTGGCCCAGTAGTATTGACGGTCCTTAAACAATATCCAATTTAAAGTAGGAAAGTTATAAAAATATAAAGTTGTCATTAGTGGCCCGCAAAACGGCAACACTGTAACGTATCTCGCAATCGGGGCCTCTCCAACCGCTCTGTATATAAATTGAGTATTTTCTTAGTTATTGATGACGGAATCGATTCGTTTCATGCAGGCGCTTGTATGGACAAATATTTGCAATAATTATATTTAGGGTTCAAGTATGACTGAAAATTTTCTTTAGGTACAATAGCAATTGTTGATTTCTTTGGGAAGGAACCTCGCAAGGTACGTCACAGAGTTGCCAATGTATGGTTCATAGATCACATTTCCCAAATTCATACCCCTTCTTATTATACTCGGATTTTCCTCTAACTTTTAATGACTTGATCATCTGATTATTCTGCGTATATTAAAGCCAAATTAATATCAGAGTAGAGACGTTTGGAGTGGCTGAAAAGGTGAAACAGTAATTTTAGATCATTTCTGCTTTCTTTAGGCAGGTTTAGAAGATTTTTACAGAAAGGAGGTGTCCCTCAAAAGGACTGCCCCTCAAGTACAATAAAATGATATTGTTTACACAACGAAGTATCATCAGCGTCAAGCATTTACTAGACCCTATAATATATTTCTGTTTTTATTTTTTATGCCTTGTTCTTTGTAAATATTGTAAAATAGTTCACTACCCATTAGGAATTTTATTTGTCATATAATATATTTGAAAGGTGTTGTAACGATTCACGTTCTATTTGCGTATGTGTTATTACCTCTCTGTGTTTATTCTTTAAACTGTGTTGCAACTAGTCTTTGAAAACAAATCCTTATATTCTTTCACGTGAAGTCAGTTAAAATGGATTGTATAAATATCATATTCTTTTTCATGTGATGTTGACTCCAATGAATAGTAAAATTTGGAACATGCATGCATGAATAAATAAATAAGGGTGTTCTTCTTCATGCAGGGTCCTGCAATAACTATACACCCCGGTAGTTGCAATGTACACGTTTACACCTGGATGGAGAGTGGCAAATGTGGATTAATGTCAACCCAAAGGACGTTTGTACCATGATGGGCTTCTAAACCTCAACCATTGGTTTGAGAGTCAATAAGGGGTTTTACAGTTATCGACCGGATGTCTGTGACGTCATTGTGTCAGGGGTCAGCTGTACACGGACTCGGGACGCGGTGCGTGCGGGGAAGTTCTTACCAAAGACGTTTAAATATAATTACTAGACGGAAAGCAGCACGCGCGGAAACCATGCAGACGAATGGGATTAGGCTCCGCCTCTTTTGGATCATTTGAAGACAAAATAAGCACCCGTGGCGGCTTTCTGATTGGATAAGAGCCTCATGAATATGTATTTTATCGATAGTATCGTTTAAGAAACCGGATAATATATTTGACCTCATTGCGTCACTTTAATTATGCAGATTTATGCACGACGCTACTACACTCGCACAAACTGAGAAGAGTTAGTTCATTGAGAATGGGTGAGTAATTGATTGAAATATGAATTTAGTCATCAATTTTGAAAAAGCTGCAATAGTCTTCGTGATGTACGGTAATTTCGTTACATTTGGTGACAGTTTTCAACAGATTTTTGGGGAAAAGACTAGATAAATATTGCTCTTGAAATTGCACTTTGATTTTCATCGTCATGAAGTAGTTTGACTGCGGTTTGCCGTCATTTCACCCTAGTACGGTACTCCAGTTAGGGCCCCGGGGTTCCGGCAGGCCTAGCCCGGGGAATTTCGGTGCTCATTTGCATCAAGATCAAACTTTCTAATCAAGTTTTATTTCAGATCTGATCGTCATCATGAATCTAATTCACCAATCACCGATTTAATTTAAATCTAGATTTAACGTTACACCTTAAAATAATCTACGAAGCATGATTTTTTATATAGACCCTAATCCAAGTGGATTAATTCTTGATAAAATCTTTAGTAGATGTGGACTCTGATGGCTTTACTTATCAATATCGGTGCCATCCGTTCGCTCAGTTGCATCATCGGTACGCGGTGCGTGTCAACTTTATTTAGGCCTAGACCAAAATTATCTGTGACCATTGATAATCAAACAACTCTAAATCCTATTCATTTAGATGTAAACCTGAAATTTATTTATAAAATATATTTAAAAAACATCAACACTAGATCTATAGGATTTGTTTATTTAATATTTAGATTTTGTGTGGGTCCAGCGTTCTTGTCAAGTTGTCATTACTACTAGAGTCTAGACCTAGTCTAGGGTCTAGACCTACTAGATCTAGATCTAGATCTAGACCCTAGCTATCAGTGGCGTAGACTACTCGGGATTTTTTCAAGGGGGGGGGGGGGGCGGGTTTAACATTTAACATCAGGCCAAAAACTTCGCAACGACCCAGCCAGCCGCTGAATAAGCGGGGGGGGGGGGGGGGGTGAGAGGACTTTTTTTTTGGGGGGGGAGTCATCTTTTTTAGGTCATTCATTAGGATTAAAAAAAAAAAAATTATTTAAAAAAAAATCAACACTCAAAAGGGGGGGGGGGTTCCAGAAAAACATACACATAAAAAAAGCTCAAGGGGGGGGGGGGGTTAACCTGCGTATGCGCCTGACCCCTATTAATTCTTTTAATATAGACTATTAGAGATTTTTTCTTCTCCAAATTGTGCAGTTCATGATGATAAATCTATTTGTGTAAGAGAAGACCCCTAGTCCACAATTATGTTTACTTATGTAGTCCACTTCTTCTTGTCTGTGGTCCATTAAATTGGAATGTTGATTTCCACACCATATTAAAATTAAGGCCAACCATGACATGAAAAATAGCTTTCATGCCAGATCTATTTTTTATTTTGTTAAGGAGAAAGGGACGCCTTGATTGTCATATTGATTTTGTTTTCTTTTTGTTCCAACAGATTGAAACTTATGAAGAGCTTGAAGGAGTTAACTGATGAGTAGACATTACAACATTTCTTATATTTGCAAGATGAAGCTGAAATTCCCATGCAGGTAACATTTTCAGGATATTTAGCACACAAATATTAAACGACCACCTATTAATTCACTAAAAAGGAAATGGAACTAAGTTTATGTTGCAGGTGTATATAGTGGAGGGGATATTTTATTCTAGTTCTTCCCTTTCTTTGTTTACAAAGGGATTTGTCCTTATTTACAGGAGGTCCTGTGTGTAGAAGAACGATGTCTAATGCACGTTCAAAGCACTACATAATAATAATAATAATAATGATCATATATGTAGGGTATACACAGGACCCCTCATTACTTTTTTTGTAAGTGGTCCTTTCACTTCTTGAGCAATGAAGATGAAGAAGAACACAACATAAGATTAATGAAAGTCTCTTTATAGGATGTATCATGTATTATGGTTGATATGTATCTATTATTATCACTTTTTAATTGAAGTACCTACATTGTTTTCTCTTTGTAGGATGATGCTTCTCTACAGTGGAGGATGAAGGCATGCTGATTACAAACCCAGCAGAGGAACAAAGAACAGATATTGGCAGAATCACTATATCTAGAGATGCGGGCCTACTACACTTCATACGAGCAAGTGTGCTAATATACAATGTAGGTACCCCCAATAAACTATTGTAGAACACATTTCATGCAGAAAGTTATAGATCTGACAAAGATATTTCTCATTGTCCGTTACTTGTAAAAGAATACTGAATATCACAATTGTGATTTAGATTTAAAATAAAATATTTATATAGATGAAATATAAGTCTACATTACGTATGTTTCAATATCATTATTTCAAGTACATTCTCTGGTCCAAGTTGTTTGGTCATTTTATGTCCCATACTTAACCGAGTATTATTCAATTATGAGCACAAGTTCACAATACAAGTACATTGTACACATATTACTTATTTCATACCTTGTCTGATCCAAGCTCCAGCAGGCCTATCATCTTAATGGGATCATCAGAAATAATCTAAGATGTGGTCAGTAACTAGTCTTGTAGGAAAAATAGTTTTGGTTTGCCCACTATAACCCCAAGTGAATTTCAGTCCTTTATCATGTTGTCAGAGCAGGTATCAGGGTGTATGTTATTAGTCATTGTTGTTTTTCTTATACACTGTATCTTATTTCATTTTTCCATTCAACAGACTTGGGTTATCGTTACAGCCCTTTCTTCTGAAAACTAGGCTACAACTTTATTGATGAATGCAAGAGACATCTACATGGGACTACGTCTTGAAGATGCCACCCTCATATAATGAAAGAGGACAGTAGAGATGGGTTTAAACTTGAATATTTACATGATATTTATTTATTATTTGTATTATATGTTTGTAGAATACCACATTCAATAAAGCTAATGAATTTATCATCATGTCAACTTTCAAATGATCAAAGATAACTAATCATCAATGAATAAACATTAACATTTTAATAATGTCAACTACCATCTTATGGGAGGACTGGGCCGAAAGATTCTCCTTGAAATTTGAGTGATAAAGATCTACCAGTCTATATCAAAGATTGAATAATTAATGATATTTTAATTATAATTATACATGTTGAAATTCATTTACCTCTATGGACTTCTGTATTTTAGAGGATTTGTAGAGTATTACATTATTGCAGTATAATGCTGCTTCAAGTATTGTATGTAAGAAGGTTTGAAAGTCAACCCTCTAAATGCATTAAATATAGAAAGACATAGACAGACTGCCATTTCACCATTGCCTTTCGTATCCAAAGTACTAATTTTAATAGAATCATGTTTTGATACTTCTTAACTTAAGAAAACGGGGGGGGGGGGGGGTTGCAATCCTCTTCCTGGTGCTGTTTCTACATGGACCATGTACATAATGTAACTGGTTGCAAAAGTGTAAACAATATTATATTTATCATATGTTTATATTAGAAGGATTTAGAAAGTAAAAACGTTTTGAATTATAGCATTTATGTTGCTAGAAGTAATAATATAAGTATAATTGCAGTGTTTATTGTTAAGGGAAAGGGATGGTGTCCCAGTGAAATTAACAGTATACCAATGTAAGATTATTTTTAAAAAAATAAATTATTCTTTAAAATAAAAATTATGCAGGACATGGGCTTCCTAACTAAAACCCTGGTACCACTTCTGGGTTGTTGTTGTTGTTTTCTTTGGGGCTTGGGGGGGGGGGGTGGCAGGCAACCCGGCCAATTCAAAATTTCTAGTGTTAAATTCAATTGTCTTTAAAAAAAGAAATCATTTATGTCAAGATGAAATTAAACAATGTTTCACTTTCCTTTTTTTTCAAGTTGGAACATTTGAATAAAATGATTAACATACTTTCCGATCTATCTGGTCTCTACGTTAAAAATGTTCGAAGCTCCTCCAAAGGCTGCAAACAGGAAAAGTGAAGAGAATCCAAGTGAAATGTGGAGGGTAATGGAGTGAATATAGAATGGTTGATAGCGAGTGCATGCAAATGAGTGGTCGTACTTGTTATTACTTGTTATTATTATGAAAGTGAGACAGAAAGGAATTGCAACAGGTTGTTCAGTAAAGAGAACACAACTTGCAGACGATATTTTTCGAAAGATGGAGAAAGATGGAGAAAGAGAGAGACAGGGAATTTTTAAGGTCACGATGAGAGTGGATGGGGAAAATCCATCCACTGTGCCACATAATTTGTTTGTCTAAAATAAGGCAACTTAATACATCTGCATATTTAAAATGTATAATCATAGCCAGAGAATGTGTTGAAAATGGATGGTTATATCATTTTTTAGTCAAGAAAGAGATTTTCAGAAAAATCTAATGCTGGAATATTATTAAGTATAGGTGTAATGATGTAATTAGTTGGCGTAAATATTCATAAATGAATGATACATGCCATTAAAACTCAAACAACACAACAACGAGTGGAACTTTAAGGTCCACTTCCCAGATGCATCCTGGGTACACCAGCTGTTTTACTGGTGATCGATAATACACGTTCGAGCGCGTATTTCAGCTAACGGTGATCGCATCAGAATAATCCATGCTGATTCGCTGAATCACTTGCGTTGCTAGCGCGCAGCGTGATGAATAAATTACCCATAATTCCGTACAGTAGATTATTTGACCTCTCTAATTACGCTGATACGCATATTGTCTTTTACCATGTAGTGAACATCATTCCAGTACACTTTTCGCGGGAAGCATCCTACAGAATGCATAATTCATAAGGCTCATGAATTATGCAAGGGGGCTTATTTTGGCTTCTAATGGATCCGGACAAAATGGCGGAGCTTGGGGGGCCTGGTTCTTACGTACGTAAGCTATGCATAAACGTGTGTAAAATCTATATCTCTAGCTTGTCGGTTGCTATATTTCTGTTCGAGTTTTAAGTATTGTTTTCATTTTTTGCGCTGAACTTGAATTGAGCACGGTTTTAATGTCAATTTTTTTAAAAGAACTGTAATGTGTATACAATTTCTAGTTAAATAGGATCACAGTAATATTTAACACGCCACTACCCACACACAGAGCACACATTCCGATTGACATGTGACAACAAAAACAAACACCAGCCAGTCCGACAAATCTACAAAATCTTAGTTTTAAAATCTACTGTAAATTGCAATTTGAATTGTTTACCTGATGGTATACAGTACCATGTGTAGGAAGATATCTTGATGAGGTTTTTAATAAAAAAGTGAAGCAGATTATAACCGATTTCAAAGTAATTTTCATGGTCAGAGTAATTTCTTTTTTTAATGTGAGTGAAATTGGGTGTATAGTAGCAGTTGCGATGGATGAATGTTGATAAAGGACAGTACAGTATAGTGCATCGGGGTTGTTTAAAGGGTGACTAAATTACACATGTACATTTTGTTCATATTTGTTTATATTAATTTTATCTATTACGTTTGTTGTACCTGCTAAGCTCCACACTAAAAAAAAAAACACCTCCAGAAGCATATGAATTATGTGACATATAATTTAGTCACCCTTTAAACAAATGTTTTGAACATAATTGTGAGAAGATACCGTAAGTATTTGGAGTTGCGATAGTACATGTAATACACTCTTGTTATAAACAGCATCGTAAACTGTTTAAAAAAAAATGATGAAAACGTCTAAATACCTCAAGTTACAAGTTTGAAGAAAAAAAAAGAAAAAAAAAAGAAAAAATCATTTAAAATTGTATTTACATATCTTTAGGAAAAACAAACTGATGATCAGCAAAGAACAAATTTGTGGCATCGAGCATGGTTGAGAAAAAGTTGCGTTTGGAAAAAAAAAATTGTGGAAGGTGTGAAATATTTTTAGTTGGAGAAATAATTTCCTAATACATTCAACTTTGACATACTATGTTGAATCTACTGGGACAAAATTTGATTGAGATGTACATGGGTAAAATAACACTGGAAATTATAAGACAGCAGTGAAAAAAATACACGGGGGCTCAGGACGATTTAGTCCCCGAAATGCCAAAAAGAGCCCCCATAAATTTGCATAGAGTTCAATGCAAATTAAATTTTAGAGTGCTATTTTCATGCACGGGAGCTTGAAAAGTAGCCCCCGACAAATCAATGTTAATTTTTTCCCTGATCAATACCTTCGACTAATGCAACGTTTTGACTTCTGCAAGTTCATGCAAGGTTCACTTATTTACTCCCATTTACATTATAGTGAATTGGTCACATCGTTTCTGGTCTAAAAGAAATATCAATGTCATGGGTACAACATTGATAATGACAAACGTTGTGGCCATACAGAAATGTTGGTGGCTTTCATTAGCTGTTTTGTCATTTAGTTATGGAAATATTGATTTAAAAAAAAACATATCTATATCAGGCACAGCCTGATCAGACATTGTAGTTTTGTGGAGGTAGTCTATGGGGGAAAATAAGTCTGGCATTTCCGGTCTCTTTTAGGACCATGCAGCTCAGATTTTTTTAGCCTCCACGATGTTACCAGTAGAAATGAGTGAAGGCATTCAAGTTTTTCTTTGGAATCAATTCCTGTGTAGCTGTTCACCCTTGCATCAGATGCTAATACTATGCCAGTTATGTCGAAATTGGCATTTTTAGCTTTTTCTCTCTCCAACTTCTGCCGCAAAGTCAGCTGTGTTTCTAATTTGTCAATACGTCCCTCCCTGAGTGCACATTCAGCAAAGAAATTTTTTTTTTACTTCGCAGTACTCGTGATATTTCAGGGCTTTTTCCGCGGTAATATCTGGTTGATCTTGTGTACTGCCCAATGAAAAATAATAGTGCTCTGCAAGGGGGTTGACAACTTTCTTGAGCGGTGGTACATTTTCTTCAGCAGGATGCAAAACCCTTTCTTCAAGAGATGAGCTTGTATGAGGCATATCTTGTCTTCTCTTTCTTTGTGCCTGTGCTCTTTTTACGTCTGAATAAGCAGGCCTTTCCTTTGGGGGTTGCCTTGGTGATTTCGCTGTGGAGGATTGTAAGTTGTATCTCATTTTTCCGTTGGATTAGGCCATGACACTGTCGGTTCACTTTCCTTAAAATGTCTTGAACATATTCTATCTTGAGATTTTGGTTGCCAGTTTTTACCATCTTTGGCTTTCCTATTGATGAGTTCGATCCAGCTTTTTCGCCTCTCTGGATTTTTTCGCTCAAAAGGAAAGGGAAGCAGCTGAAAGGGCGGTAGACAAATGCAGCTCCCGTTCTTCTTTCCATGCAACTGACACATTTGGCCATACCAATGGGACAGTTTTTCCACGCTGTTCGAGCAGCCGATGATGGCACATATTCTTCCCATGATGTAGTTCTGGAAGATAAAATATGCAATAAACAAAATAAGAACCATGTAGTAAGGTAGATCTACTCTACAATTCCCCATTCCCCCCTGGCCCCCATACAAAAAAAATCTTTAATTTTTGTAGACCTAGATCTACTTCAAAATTAAGAATTGTTGCATGCACTGCAGTAACTAAGAAATAATCATATCATTATCCTAATAATGACAAGTCCGTGCACCGTTGGAAAATTAATCTTTTTTTTTCATCATCATCAACAACAACATCATCGTAGAAATATCGCAGATCAAAGGAATCATGAAACTTGATTATTTTGATAGGCATTTGGTTCCGGAGAAGCTGAGCTGAGCTGAGCTGCTAGCTGTGACTGAGTGTGAGGCCACTTTGCAGCCTCACCAAACACCGAACAAAATGACTTTCAAAATTGTTTAACAAAAGGCAACAAAAAGATTGTTGCTTTAAGAGCTGTTGAAGAATATTTGTTTTCATCTTGTTCATGTTTGATTCGAATTACTCACCGCGAAATAATTAAAACGAAGTCAAATTGGTTGAAGTCCGTATTTCCAGTAGTCGGTCCCACGCGTTTAATTTCATGTAAGTAATGTCACCATACAACGTTTTATACACAAGTACACAGTCCGTTTTTGCAACTTTCTAGGAAGAAAATGTCAATCAAAGTCATAGTAATAGCTAGTTATATTATTTATTATGACCAAGGAGATGAAATAGATTGATAAGAAGAAATATACAGCGAAATTTTTCCCGAAACAAATTTGTAGTATTGTCCGTTCGCGGGTTGAGCACGTTGATCACAGTTGGCAGAGCTATTCTAGTACGAATGACCTGACCCCGGAAGTTGATATCGGAGATTCGCGCAAGCGCAGACGATATCTGTAAACTCCCTTCAGCATCAGTATACGGAAGTGTGAGGTGATCCTCTTGAAACTTCCGGTCGTTAA